TTATTTTTCTTTTTGCTTCTTGCTCCTCTGCATCATTCATTTTGAAAGTTCTGTCTTCAGATTTGCTGATTCTTTTGCCTGGCCAGGTCTTGCTGCTCAGTAACTGAAGTGTTCAGTTCAGGTTTTGTATTCCTCAGTTCTAGTTTCTGTATGATTTTCCTTCTTAATTTCAGTCTCTGCTGATATTCTCACTTTAGTCATGTGTCATTTTTCCTGATTTCATTTAGTTGTCTATTTGTGCTCTTTGTAGTCCACCAGGTACCTTTGTGATGGTGTCTTTTGTTGTTATTTGATAGGAGATTTGGGTATTTGAAAATTCAGCCACCCTCACCAATTTTTGCAGTCTGACATTCTACAGAAATTACTCCTTCCAGTAATCTTAGCAAGAGATTTTTGACCATTTTGAGCCTTTTCTGGGGCCCTGTCCTCTCTGGTGGTTTGCTGTTTTCTACTCTGGTGCTTCCCCTGCTGTCAGCAGGCAATACTGAGGCCTCGCTGGGATTGTAGTAAATCACAGTGCTGGGACGCCACCTAGTGTCTGTCTTTGTACTGCAGCATCTGGTGCTAATTGGTATTCTTGGCCTCCAATTCGCACCCTGTTCCTGTCCTGCTTTTTTAAGCAAGACAGAAACTAGTCCCTTGAATATACCCCCAAAAGTCAAATATACTCAATGTTTGACTACTCCTTTCTTTTCCCAGGGAGAACTCAGAAGTTATGTGCTTCTTCCCAGTCATGCTGTACCATCCCCAAGGGCAGGGATCTGTCTATTGAAAGCTCTGATTTTAAAACCATGCCTCTTTGGGAAGAAGTGTCTGGAGTTTCCTATCCCACTGTCTTCCTGATGTCTAAAATAACAGGGTCATGCTGTACATAACTGCCTAATAACTTGTTTTATTGTCACTTATATTGTAGGTACTGTTAAATGCCATAAATATAGATTAATATTATTTTCAAGTCGTTTCTTAAAGTATAATTATTCAGGTATCGTAATTACCTATTGTTGATCATTTAGATTATTTCTAAGTTTTCAGTTGTTCCAAAGATGAACTCAATGAATTTTCTTAAAATTACTGTATTTGCCCAAAAATTGTACTCCAGGAAAGAGGAAGTTGGTTTGTATTTCATATTAAGTCGTACATTTTGTACAGTTTTCTCAATGAGTTTATTGTGATCTAGCTACAAAGTATCAGTCATAAAAAGTATTACCCAGGAAGTCCTCAGATTATGTTAGTTTTGAATGTTTACTTTTTTCTTTTTTATTATCATATAGTGTGCAGAGGGGTTTCATTGTGATATTTCCGTACATGCATGTTATGTACTTTGATCAAATTCAGCTCCTCTGTTACTCTTTCTAATTCCCCTTTTAAAACAGCTTATAATGGTTCTCATTAGCCCATGTTCATACGTGCATATGAAGTTACTTTGGTTATGTTCATCCTTCCCTAAACCCGCTCCTTTCGCTCTCCCCCCGGTTCTTGTCCCCACAATCCTCCTTTTATACTCATGTCATTTTTTTTTTTTAGTTCTAGATATTTTTGAATGTTTATAAAGCAGTCACCTGGGAAAATCTGGGGAGTGAGGAAGCAAAGGAATTTGCCCCAGATTTCATAGTTGTCTTGTAGGGATGTGACTTCATAGTTGCATGTGGGGGGACTTATCATACCCAAGATTTCTAGAGAGTGCTTGTGGACTGAAAATGTAGCTCAGTGATAAAGCATTTGCCCAGCACACTTAAAACCCTGTGTTGCATTCCCAGCACTGGAAAAAAAAAAAGTGCTGGGAACAGGTTATTTGGAGTCATCAAGGACATACACCTGCAGGGAAAGGAAACACCAGCTCTCCTAGCTATGCCTGTGGCTTGAATGAAATTTCCAGGGATGGCCTCAAACGGTGCTTCATTGCACATGACTTGGAGTTGGAGACAGCCTTGTGGAAAGCTGTGAGGGCACTCGGTCACTTGGCAGGGGTACTGTGGACACCTTGCTGTATCACATAATGAGATACATTGTGCTGGGGGACTCCACCCATAATGCTGAGATTAACAGTGGCTTCCAGGTGCCAGCCCTCAGCTCTCCATGACAAGCTCCCAAGCTGCCACTGCTTATGACTTCAGCACCATTGCTTATGCTCACTTAGGTCAGTTATTTCCGTAGAGGGTTCCAAGTGGCAATTTTCTAATTCCGTAATTTTCTAATGCTCTCTGAAGCTAAGTTCTCACATAAAGAATTTCCCACCGTAACTATTTAGTTGCCTGATTCATTAAGAAAAGGCATAATAAATTTTTAGTTCTTTGTCCTTATTTATTAATTTTAAGAATAAATACCCTAACAATATCCAGTAGTGGCCCTTTTAAAGATACCATTGTGGACTCATGAATTTTGAAATTATAATTGATTTGCATCAACCCATTGCAGTCATTATTCCAATGGGAGCGTCTTCAAATTGGCTCTTGTGTTCTTTCTAAGTAAGTCCAGTAATCCTCGATCACTTCTTTGCTGACTGGCATGTCTTGTTCATTTCCTAACCTCAGATCTAGAATCTGTCACTTCTCTAAGGAGCCCTGCTCCTCTTACAGGCTGTGGTGTGCAGGAGCACTGTCTTGGCACTTGGGTTGCTTGTTGCTGTCTTATTCTCTTTGCTTCAAGGACCTATAGCAAAGCAAGAGTTATTTTGCTTTTCAGAGGAAAAAAACTCTACAAGTTTGTATTGATATTTCCAATTAAGATATAAGATTATAGGATTTTTACTTAAATTTATATATATATATATATATATATTTCTTTTTCTCTTATATTGAAATGTCTTGGTTTTTATTAACATTGTCCTGAAAACACAATTCTTTCATTCTTTAGTATACCTAAAATAGTTTTAGAATATAAATATAAATAAAATATAAATATAAATGTCACTCTTAACAATGAGTACTGAATGCAATTTAAACTTTCTTTGTGCTTTTTCCATTAGAATATATCTTTATATCAATATATAATCTTATATATTATATAAGATATAATATCTTTGATTTTATCAATATATAATCAAAGTCCCACATATAAAAGTCACCTGAGTAATTATCCTGTGTGGCCATGCCACTAACTTGAAACAAAATGTGATCCATTTGTTTTGATTTGCTGTGGAAAACAACATTTCAAAAAAAATTTGTATAAAGCAAGATGCATTCACAGAAATCTCACTTTTATCCCTGTTCCTTCATGGTGTTTCTGCCCTTCATCATGGGTATCCATATTATTTTTATCTGGAGATTGGATGTCAAGGGAATTATTCTGTGCTTAAAAAGCCTGTCTCAAAAGGTTATACACTGTATATTTTCATTTATAGTTCCATTTGTATATCTTTTTCTTTTTTTTTGAGACAGGTCTCATGTAGCTCAGGTTAGCTCAGGCTTGCTATGTAGCCCAGGCTAGCCTCAAACTTGAGAACTTCCTGAGTGCTGGGCTTAGAGGCATATGTCACCAGACCCAATTATATAACATTCTTCACCTGACAAAACTGTGGAGATGGAGAGCAGTTACTACTCTCTAGAGGTGGGGAAGTAAGTAAGGGAGGGGCTATGTGTGGACAAATAGGCACTGCAAAGGATCCTTGGGATGGGACTCTTCTGTGTCCTTACTGTGCTGGTAGTCACAGAATCCACATGTGGCAAGATGCATAGAAACACACACACCCACACACATACACACCACTCACTGTAGAAAGACTGATGCCATTTGAATTATGGAAAGGAATTGTATCTGAGTGAGTTTACTGGCAGAGATGCTGCCCTGTCATGATGTAGAAGGGTGTTATGTTGGAGGAACTGGGTGATAGGCATTCAGGATTTCTCTCTCTTGGTTCTTACAACTGCATATGAATTGACAATTAACTTAAAAAGCTTTTTGTAAAGTGACATTGATGAGACAGAGTGGGACAAAGCAATTTTACTAATTTAATTATCAAATGTGAGTTAGCAGAAATTAGTGTACTAGGGTTTTAAATAGGCTTTAGACTTCTCTGGTGGTAGATCATCTTTCTGGGTATAGTCAGCAGACACTGAGGCTTGAATGTAGGCATCTCTTCTTTCAGAAAGCAAAGTTAAATGCCTGTGTGTCTGTGCTGTGTCTGTTCTGCTCTTGCCCTCCTCCAGACTTTGAGGATGTAAAACATGTCTTTCCTGTTTCCTGATGTACCCCAGTGTTTAGGTACAATGTCTCAAAAAAGAGTTGGCAAATCCATCAATTCATACCTTTACAAATACTGCTGCTATTTCTTCACACATAATAAGAAGAAAGCTTGCAGCACTTGATACATGAAAAATCACACTAATAAAACTAATAAAATTACTTAGGTGAAGAGAAATGATAAAGTGAGACTAAGAAGATGAAAAGTTTTCTTAGGATATTAAAATACATCTGTGGTTTTAAAATCTGATAAAGAACTAGGATATAGCTCAGTGGTAGAGCACCTACCTAGCATGCACAAGGTCCTGGGTTCTAGTTCCAGCACCACATGAAAGATAGGGAGGGAATGGGAACTTCATATGTGAGTACAGAAGGTGCGCACAGAATGCACACACAACCTTTCATGATGGTCACTTATCTAGCCGTGTAGAAGGTGGAAAAAGGAAGTGTGGCTGGCTTTTTTTGAACTCCTGACTAGGTACATGTTTATGTAAAAAAGCAAAAAAAAAATTTTAAATGCCTGCAAAAAGTATTTTTCTTTAAGAGACAAAAAGATAGTGGGAAATCTCCTTGAACACAATAAAAGGTGCAAAAAGTAGTAATTCATGGGATATTATTGTGGTTTACTTGACCTGCGGAGTGTCTTTCATTTTATTTCCCTTCTTCCTTTAAGTAACATGTTTTTATATTTTTTTCCTGGTTTGGGGCTATTCTTCTCTCAATTTTCATGATGAAAATATGCTTCAGTTTTTCTATAATAATGTCTTTCTATCAACATCTCTCCTCTTTTGATTTATTAATTATTGTTCAATTTTCTCTAGCTTGAAGATGATATTATTGTCAAACAGAATTATTTTAATACTATAAAAAATTTTGCACTTCAACTCTCTTCTGAAGAATGGATGATTCTAGAGTTTTCCCAACTGGGCTTCATTGGTAAGAAAATTGTCTGATTTCTCCACTTTTCAAAAATAACTGAGTCTTAGAATCTTAAAACAATTGCTTTTTCTGTTCTTAAGTTGTCCATCTTCCTATGGAAATGGATTAGTTTTGAGGAAAATTTAACTTAGGTAAACCTCTTTGTATGAAATGCAGAAAGTAAACCCGAGATAGAATCTGGAGGCTTCTAAGGTGTGGTTTTTCCTCTAGAGAGCTACACAGTGCAGCCATTGTCCTGGGACACATATGATCTCATCTTCTAGCTCCTTCAGGCTGTTCCTTATCAAAAGATTGGGAACTTTGAGGAAGAATACCATGGAAAGGTGTCTTCTGTGAATTCCTGGTATTTCATGCAGTGCCTGAAGTTCTCATTCAGTACTTTTTATATGTTTCTTTCATTAACTAGTTAGAATGCTCACTTAAGGCCTTTTCTGAGCTAATGTTCCTAAATTAGTCAATGAAAAGGATATATTTAAAGTTGAAGAACTGAAGGAAGTTTATGGGTTTTTTTTTTCTTTTAGTTTATGGATTTTTAAAAAACACTCAGAAGTTGTGTGTAGTGGCACATTCCTGGAATCCCAGTTACTCTGGAGGCAGAGGTGGGAGGACAACACAAATATGAGAAAATATTTTATGTGAAAATATTAAAAGCAAGAGGACTAGGACATGGCTGAAGTGGTAGAGCACTTGCCTAACAAGCATGATGCCGATACCAACAAAAAAAGGACTCAGAAGCCTGGCCTGGTAGTACATACATGCCTGTAATCCCAGCACTTTGAAGGTAGCAAGAAAACCAAATGTTGGGAATGTAGCTTGGTGGTTAGAGTGCTTGCCTAGGATCTGAAAAGGTTCTGGGTTCGATCCCAGCACTACAAAACAGCAAAACAAAACAAAAAGAGACAACCAAACAGGCAAACACACACATACACACACACACATGCACAATACACACAAAACCTAAAAAAGTAAAAACATGCTTCACAGTACTGTGTTTTAAAAATACTTCCTAAAGTACTTTAAAAAGTTAAATGTTAGTGCTGGAGATGTAGCTCAGTGATAGAACACTTGCTTAGCATTGTGTGAGTCCCTGGGTTCAATCCTAGCACTTTAAAAAAAAAAAAGGCTCAGCCTCTGACTTTTGGGGGTTTTATTTGTTGTTGTTTTGGTTTTTGCATTTATTGATTTAAAGATTTTTTTTAACCTAAACCTGTCAAGTTCCTTTATTTATGGGAAGTATCTAGTAAGATGTAGAAAAGCACAACAAAACAAAACAGCTGATTTGCTGTTTTACTCCTTTGAGCCAGCAGTCTATGATAGGTTTTGTAATAGTGTCAGAGTTCACTACTTCTGCCTATCCCCGGCGACGCTGGAGAGAATGTTTCACTAAAGCAAGTTCGTTTGCATTTAAGAATTACTAGTGGTGACTTACAGTTGAAAGCATACGCTTGCAGGCATTTAGTGCACAGATTTCACCTAGGTAAGCTGTTTGACCATTGCTTCTTTATTGCCACTGTTGACCGGGAATATCTTTTCAGGTAAAATGTTTCAAGCGCCAGACCTCACTCTGATCGTAGAATTCATATTTATGTTCTATAAAGAGAAACCCATTGACTGGCTCTTGGATCACATTCTCTGGGTGAAAGTCTGCAACCCTGAAAAAGATGCAGTAAGTGAATCCTTGTGAGAGTGGAGGGGGCTGCCTTTCCAGATTCCACTCATGAAGGTGACTTTTAGGCAACCGGATTTTGCCAGTGAATGGTTAGATTAGGCAGTTGAAAGAATACAGTGTTTCCTCTTAATGTTTCCAATGCTCATCTTCTTTCTGGAGCTGATATGCAAATTTCCAACGTTAGAATGACTTTTGAATAGCGGAAAATCCCTTAAAGTAGAGAAGCCTTTGCCTGTCAGTGGCCTTTCTCTAAACTGCTGGCAAATGTTGATCATGTCTTCAGGCTTTGTTAGAAGATTCTGGTGCCACTGGCTATATGGATATTTATCAGACCTGGGTATTTCAGTTTGTTTCTTCCTATTCTCTGTCACCTTTCTGTTTTTGAATACTTTGGGGGACAATATCAGACCTTAACATAACTGAACATAAAGAATAAAATAGAAGTACTATTTTATGCTAAAATCATGACAAGTTACAGTATTTTCAGTGTATTACTTATAAGGAACATAGCTATATGCTTACTTTTGGGATGATGGTGGCATGAATGTAGGTGAATGGAAATGTTGCTTTCATCATTCAGACAGCACATTATTTCCAAAGAAATATTACTGCAAAAAATAATTAGAAAGCCTTGCATGGTGGTACACGCCTGGAATCCTAGTACTCAGGAGGTTGAGGCAGTAGGATTGCAATTTCAAGGCCAGTTTAGGCTACATAGGAAGACCTTGTCTCAACAAAATTTAAGTAACACAGTGTGTGGTGGCTCACATCTATAATCCTAGCTACTTGGGAGGTAGAGATCAGAGGATTGTGTTTTAAGGCCAGCCCAGGGGAAGCTCAAATAGGATCATGATCCATGTCATCTCAGGCATAGAGCAAAATACCAGGCATATCTCAAGTGCTGCTTAGCAAGTGTGAGGCCCTGAATTCAAACTGAAAAAAAAAAGGAAGGAGTGAGATATGTTTCTTTGTCCAGTTTGATCGGTGCAGGAGGTCTGAGAGCACTGTGGATTTCTTGGTGTTCTGCAGCCATCACTCACCATGACTGAGACCTAGGACAGGTTACCATGTGACGGTGTCCCTTAACTGTGTTGAGATGGATTTATCTCTGGGACTTGTAGTATCATTTACTTCCTGGAAGTAAAGTTATTCCTTGTGTTTTCAAGTTGCATTCATGCAGTAAAATATGCCTTTTATTATGTATAGTTACTTCACTGTATTACCTGTTTAAAGATGTTTTGCATATTTCAAACAAGCCTGTAGTCCTGTAGTCTATAGTTTGCACATTCTGATCCTCAAAGTCAAATCTTCATTAACATGTCTTGAAAGATGGACCCTTCATTGTTGCCTTAGCTGTGCTTAATTTCTGGATCAGAGCCGTTTGTTAAGTAGGTAACCTCCTGGAGGACTGTAAAAAAACTTATGACTTGAATTTGTGTTTTCTTTTCAATATTGTTTTAATAGACTTTCTCATTTTTCCTGGTAAGGACAAGATTTCACTTTATTATGTAATAGTGAAATGATTTTTTTTTAAATGTTTAGAAACATTGTGACAGACAGAAAGCAAATCTGCGAATTCGCTTCAGACCTTCCCTTTTCCAACACGTTGGTCTACATTCGTCACTATCGGGAAAAATTCAAAAACTCACGGTTGGTGGTTTATTTTCTCATGGATGTACAATTTGTAATTCAGTGTCTAACTGTGACTTTTATTGATAAGCCACATGTTATTTAGTGCATCTGTGTCCTTCTTTCCACCTAGGACAAAGATTACATGAAACCATTACTTCTCAAAATCCATGTAAACCCACCTGCAGAGGTATCTACTTCCTTGAAGGTTTACCAGGGACACACTCTGGAGAAAACTTACATGGGAGAAGATTTCTTCTGGGCTATCACCCCAACAGCTGGAGACTACATCTTGTTTAAATTTGACAAGCCAGTCCATGTAGAAAGGTTGGTGACTGTTGATACATATTTGATCTTGGACTTCATATTCGATGTGGTTTATGATAGAATGGTTTTGTGTGTAACAGATGTGAAGAAGACAGTGGTTCTCACGGTGCTGGGTTATGAATTACATTTGATACAGCAGATTAATAAAAATGAGCATGTTTTCAGATGTGGTGTCACATTTGCCTCTCCCTCCCGAGCAGCTAGGATCACAGGTGTGAGCCACTGGTGCCTGGCATGACAATGCTCTTATCCTAGAATATCCTTTACAATTTGAAAACTAGTTGATAAGACCAGCAATTTGGTTGAAATGACATATTTTACAGCTTTTGACTCTTCCTAGTCAATAGTTTTGCAAATGCTGGATAGTTTTAATACACCACTGAGGAATTTACAATCTTGTTATGACTTTAGCATGCACGTTCATTTTATAAAAAATTTTATTCTCCATTTTAAATTAATTAATTACATTTAATAGTCATTCTGTCTTCAACCCTTGCTGAGTTTTGTGTGTTTCCCAGATTGTCTGTGGCATAATTAATAGAGTGCAGTTCACTTTCCTGTTGCATAGCTTAACCTGTTGTCAGCTTAGCCTGGTGCTAAGATGTCACCAGATGGTAGGCAATTTTTAGCTCCATTATAATCTTTGGGACTACCCATATATGATGACAACTAAAATACTGAGTGAAAGAAACATTTATCTAAATACACGTACTATGTGTGTTACTCTGTTTATTCATAGTCACAGAGGAAAGATGAAAAATAAACCTATCAAAGAAGCATATCAGATATATCAAATTATCTTTTAGGAAGTTTATGCTGGGTGATTTGGACAGCTATACCAACATAGAACCAGAGAAAGAAGTTGCTGACTATCCTTCGAAGAGTTAAGAAGTGACCTGTGGGTGTGTGGGATCTTGCTATCAGGGTTTAGAAGACTTATTTATAAAGAGGGGCTGGTCCTGTCATCCTGGGATGCTACTTGCCCACAGGGCCACCGGTAGCCACTGCTCTTCATGTGGGCACTGACTTCATACCTCGATCCTGCTTTGGATTCGTAATTCCCTCTCATGTTTAGCCTCAGTTTCCAGCTTCTAAATTGAACACAATTTTGGCTTTATTCAAGCTATGGTTAGAGCCTGTGATATTAAAGCTGGGAGACATTTGGAACTCAAACCTTGTGACCTGCTGTTTGTGGTAAAGTGAGGGGATTGAAGTCTCCCTGCCACACAGTGGGGAGGGGAGGTGGCAGACGACCCCAGCCCCCACCCCATCAGCTCTGCCCTGCTCTGGGAGCTCTTGGGGAATGTGGGTAAAATGGTAGTGTAAGAAGAGGTCCATTGACTTTGTATGTTTTTCTTGTATCCCGCTTCCTTGCTGAACTTATTAGTGTTACAGTTTTTTTTGTTGTTTTTTTTTTGGTAGATTCCTTGGAATTTTCTACTCAGACAATATTGTCATCTGCAAATAGGAACAGTTTTATTTCTACTTTTCCAACCTCTATGTCTTTTATTTCCTTTTCTTACCTTATTACACAGGCTAAAGCCTCTAGTACTGTGTTGAATAAAAATGGTGAAAGTGGGCATTCCTTCTTTGTTCTTGATCTTAGGGATAAAATAATATTCAGTCTTAGGCCATTAAGCACATACTAAGCTGTATGTTGTAAATATTTTGATAAATGCTTATTAACAAATTCAAGAAGTTCTCTGTTCCTAGTTTTCTGAGAGTTTTTCTTTTTATGAGTAGGTCTTGAATTTTGTCAGATTTAGTTTGATATCAGATAGCTTTCTAAAATTGGGAAGAATTGGGAATTTCTAAAGTTGGGAAGAGTTCTCCCTTTTGTTTTCTAGAAGAGATTGTGTAGAATTGGTATTAATTCTTGAAATGCTTTATAGAATTTTCTAGTGAATTCTCAAGCTCTGGTCTGGAAGATTACTTTTGGAGGAGTTTTCAAATTACAAATTCACTACTTAACAGTTGAAGTGCTATTCATGTGCTTCTAGTATTTTTTCAATTCTACTCTTTTTTTCCCCTCCCTTTTTAGAGACTCCAATGACATGGATGTTAGACTTTAGATATAGGCCTACAGGTTCCTGTGGCCCTCTTCATTGTTAAATTTCTGCCTTCATTGTATTCATCAGATTGAGTCGTTTATATTGATCTGTCTTCAAATGCATGGACTCTAGCCTGTGTCCCCTCCATTCTCCTGTTGAGCCCATCCATTGAGTTTTCCATTTTGGTTATTGTTTTTCTTTTATTCTTAAATTTCCATTTAATTCTCTTTTATATTTTTGTTTCTTTGTTGAGATGTTCTAATAGTTCATTTGTTTCAAATGTATTTATACTTGAGGCATTTTTATGATGGCTGCTTAGAAATCTTCAGATAATTCTAGCATTTCTGACATTTTTATGCTGATATCTACTAATTACCCTTATTAATTCAAGTTGAGAATTTCTTGTTTGTGGTATGATAAGTGATTTTCTATTGAAATCTGGACTTTTTGGATGTGGTGTTCAAGCAGACTGTGGATCTGCTTGAAAACTTTTTTATCTGGTTTTCTCCAACATGGCTTTGCAGACACAGAGGTAGTGTTGCCCTTTTTCTTTCAGGTGGGGTTAGCAGTTTAGTTCTCTGCTTGTGCTTTGTTGACCTCCAAGAGGGAAAAGGCTCCTTGTTGCTGCTGGATGGTGTGACAGTGCTGGTTCCAGTAGACCTATGCTGATGCCATCCTGGCTAAGAGGCACCAGAGGGCCTCCTACTTTCTCCATGTGTTCTCCAGTGACATCATTAGGCATGACCTGTTATTACCCACACACACCCTGGGTGGGGTGTTTCAGAATGGCCATGGTAGACGTCTAAACTCCCTACTCAGCCTTTGCAGGTGTGAGTGGGACTGGGGCTGCTTTTTCTTTTCCCTGTAGGGTTTGTCTGGAGCATCATGGTTATTGTCTAAAAATGTCATGTCTACTAGTCTACTCTTTTCCTGACCCTTTGGTGAGACAGATCAGGCTTTTTTGGAGACTTTTCTTGTCTGTTCCCTTGGCATTTCCAGGTTGCTGGCTTCTTCAGCTCCAAGTCTAGGGTGTATCATCTAAAAGAAAGCCTGCTCACCACCCTGTTGTTCATTGAATCCTAGGGTCCCTATCTGGTCTTCCTTTTCTCAGCCTTCCACAATCTTCTGATGTTTGTCTAATATAAAATGTCCAGGGTTTTGCTTATACTTAAAGGAATAGGGAGAAGTACCTGTACCTCACTTCCAGAAGTAGAAGTCCCAATGAGCAAGTTCTCAGAAAAAGAATCAGGAAAAAAAAAATTTTTATTATATGTGTATGTAAAATATGTATTTAGCAAATCAAAGAATCTGCTGACAAGTTTACATTTTGGAGATTAAATTTCTTTATAACCAACATTTTCACAGTAAACCCCTGTAAGTCCATATTTATACCTGGAAAATGAGGGCATATTTTTCATAGAACAAAGTTCTTCTGAAGTTGTAGTTACATATAATTTTTTTTAAAGTTTGCAGAAACATCCACCCTTTCTAGGACAAAGAAAAATCCTTTTGATTTCCATAATAAATTATTTATTAAGAGAGGAAAAAGCCAGAGGTATTTATCAATATAGAGATGAAATATGAAGAAAGTATTTTTAGACCATATCATATGAATTCATTATACAAAAATTTAAAATCATGAAGATTCAGGGGAAAAAAATAATAACCCCCAAGGCCACCATTGTGACCATATTTGCATACTTTTTTTTGGTAATTTTATGTACTTTCTGCTTTCAGTCATAGTCCATATGTAATTTTGTGCCTGTTCTTTTTCCATTGCAGTCTGTCATTGCAAGTCTTTGAACTTGCTAAGACTATTGGTTGTCTGAGCAAAACTTTCTCTGATACAGCAGTATTACATTGTAAACACATACTGCAGTTTTTTTTTCAGTCTCTTAGGTACATTGTTATGTTATGCAGCAAACATGCCAAGGAATTAACACATTGCTTAGGGCTTGCATCCTCCAGTTTTTAAGTTCTCGTCTACTGTTCAGAATTCATGCTGTAAACTTGCTACAAGTTCTAGTGTTGTCAACTTTGTATAATTAGAGTCTTATTTAGAAAAGCTTACTCTGATGTAAGGTCATTTTCTTGAATCTGTAAAATATAGTCTGACTCATTTTTAAATCTTTATATCTACATTTTCAGTTATTTGTTCCATAGTGGCAACCAAGAACATCCAGGAGACATTCTGCTAAATACAACTGTGGAAGTTTTGCCTTTTAAGGTATGACTACTTTTTCCTCTGACCTTTCCCTTAGAACTGATACTAGTGGACTCAGTTTGAGGCTGTTCTTGTTTTAAGAGATGAATGAAAATCTCATAATGTATTAGACTCCAGTGGTGAGTAATATTATTTTTTTTGAAATGTCAAATGCCTGGTATCAGTATAGCATTTATCTTCTTCATAGACAAAGCCTTCAGTTTGTTTTCTATTGGAAAATAATGTTGATGTTTATACTAGGATAAGAATCATCATGGGCTTGTAGCTTGACTCAAGTGATACAGTGCCTGCCTAGCAAGGGCAAGGCCCTAAGTTAAAACCCCAGTATCAAAAAAAACCCAAAAAACTCATTTTATTATGTCAGTATTGATTTGCTGTTTGTATTTTGAATCCTACAGTACCATATGGGCATTTTATTTATTTATTTTTTTTTACATTTTTATTTTATTTTATTTTTCCTTTTTCTTTTATTATTCATATGTGCCTACAAGGCTTGGTTCATTTCTCCCCCCTGCCCCCACCCCCTCCCTTACCACCCACTCCGCCCCCTCCCTCTCCCCCCTCCAATACCCAGCAGAAACTATTTTGCCCTTATTTCTAATTTTGTTGTAGACAGAGTATAAGCAATAACAGGAAGGGACAAGGGTTTTTGCTGGTTGAGATAAGGACAGCTATACAGGGCATTGACTCACATTGATTTCCTGTGCGTGGGTGTTACCTTCTAGGTTAATTCTTTTTTATCTAACCTTTTCTCTAGTACCTGTTCCCTTTTCCTATTGGCCTCAGTTGCTTTAAGGTATCTGCTTTAGTTTCTCTGCGTTAAGGGCAACAAATGCTAGCTAGTTTTTTAGGTGTCTTACCTATACCCCTCCCTTGTGTGCTCTCGCTTTTATCATGTGCTCATAGTCCAATCCCCTTATTGTGTTTGCCCTTGATCTAATGTCCACACCATATGGGCATTTTAATGCCTGTTAATGAATACACAAAGTTAGTTTATTGGTATGTAAGGAAAACTTAGATTTTTGCAAGTTAATAAAATTCTTTTGTGTATTTTAAATAGAAAATAATGCTCTATTAAATTGATTTAGTCTTCATTTAACAACCATCAGTATATTCAGATTTGGATGATGGTTAAACGAAACAACTGTTACAGGTAAGTTTTTTAGGGTTCAAGACAGATAATGCCAATTCTCTTTTTAGAGACAGCTGTTTCACAATGTTTCATGTTTCACATAAATAGATACATTAATAACTTAGATTTGTTTCAAACAGAAGTAATTGTAGAATTAATAATTTCATTTTATTTTAGAGTGAAGGCTTGGAGATAAGCAAAGAAACCAAAGAGAAACGATTACAAGATGGCTATTTCAGGATAGGTAATACCTACTTTTGTAAAATGACCTTTGTTTTTCTGGACTTATTCCTAAAGTGACTTTAGATTATTTCTAGATGTTAAGCAGCTTGAAGATTACAATGACCTTGGTACTGCAAGTTTTGTTTGTCCCTGTGTTTAGTGCTTACTTGAATCATCTTGACCCAAGTAGGATTTCAGATGTTTCTCTATTTTGTGTGCCATTGGCCAATAGTGAGTGTGCCCTCTGCTGCCTCTTACTGGATGGACTTTGCTACACTTGTGGTCTCAGCTAACATCCTCATGTCACAATCTGGGCTTAGGGCTCTGCCTCCCTGAATGTCCCCTCTGTGTTGAGATGCCCACCGACATTGCCTCCTGGCAGCCATGTCAACATCTACTGAGCATCTGAAACCCAGGCATTTCTTAACTGGTCACCATGATTTTTTGCTCTCCCTGTTCATCTTGTCACCAAAGCCTAACCTTGGAAGTCACTCTGAACACCTCTCCCTTACTGTGCGAGTCCTGAGTCACCCTGTCTCTCTGAGGGTGTCATGTGCCCTCTGACTCTGTTTTAGAGCCAGAGAAGGGACCGCATTGACCTGTGTCAGAGCTACTGACACATAACCACCCTAAAAGGTAGATATGTCAGTATGGAACTGGTAAAAACATTAAAGACTTTCTGTTATCAGATTCCTTAGCCCCTGCCTACTTTCATGTCTTGTAACTTTCCTCTTATTCTTTTTTTATCTCCAGACCTGACATTGCTGTCCCCTAATGAACACCCCATGCCTTTGTGTGCAGCCATGTCTGTTTCCTCTGCCCAAAATGGTCCATTGATCTCCTCCTGAAGAATGCTCTTCATCCTTTGTGTTAGTCAGCTTTCCATAGCTGCGACAAAGTACCTGAGAAAATCAATTTGTAGAGGAAAGGTTTATTTTGGCTCATAGTTTTGGAGGTTTCTGTCCATGGTTGGTCCATGAGGCAGCACCTCATGATGGGAGCACATGACAGAAGACTGTTCACCTCATTGTAACTGGGAAGCAAAGAGAGAAAGAAAAAGGGACTAGAGTCCCAATATCCCCTTTGAGGGCATGCCTCCAAATGGCCTAACTTCCTTCCACGAGGCCTTGCTATATTCTAATACCTCCAGTAGTTCCACAGGCTGGGTCCAAGCACATGGGCCTTTGAGGTACATTCCAGATCCAACTGTGGCATCCTTAATTGCCCAGTTTGGCTGTCCCTCCCTTTTGCCACACTATGTGCCTTTGCTGTGCAATCTGTTGTCTCATACCTACACTTTGTGCTCACCCTGGGGAGAGGGGTGTTCTCTCCCCTGAGTCTCCTGCAGTGAACTCAGGGCCTGTCATTTGGTTTACATGTATCCTGTGAATGATTATGCATTTTATCTTAGTGAAAACAAATCGGTGCTTTTCTTAATAGTAGAGAGAGAAAGAGAACATTGGTAAATTAATCCTGTATGTCTACAGGACAGCCACATCTTTCTAGCTTTCTCTAGAACATTTTATGTGTGGTATGGTTCAGACATTGCTAAAGGGCTTGCTCAATAACCCTGGTTTCCATGTAGTTTTGGTGGGTAGGTGAGGTTAGTTATTTTCATATTTGTCTATATCTTAGCCTATGTCTAGAAATGTACATAAAGTTAGCTGAGTATCCAAGACATTTATTAGCTCTGTTACCTGTCAATTATTTAATTTTTGGGAATCTTGTGTTCTAGATTATGAAACCCACATAGGAAATAGACACATCTGTATTAAATAGCTCTGCAATAATTTGAAGACAAAGACCACCTAGACCATCAGCTCATATGTACCTAAACCCAGAAGAGAGCTTGTGATTATGAAACTGGGGACCTTGTTTAATATAAACACCCATCAGAAATAAAGAGCAGCTTTTTCAACTGAATATAAAAAGTTCTCCCATAAGAAGTGTGCTGTAATGGAATGGTTGTGTAAGAGTCTTCGTTGACCCTTCCCCCTCCATAGGAAAACAACTGTAGCTGGTGAAAATTATTAAGAAAAAATATTGAAAAGCTTTGGATTGCCTTAAAGGCAGTGGGGAAATGGGGAAAGGCATGCAAATAGGGAAACAGTTATGAAAATCTGGTAAATCTCGGCAGTAGCTCTGAGTCTGCAGCATCCAAGCCACGGCTCGCTCCATTACCAAGGGCTCACTGAGTCAGGGGCTCTGTTTTGTGTAGGTGTAGCTGGGAATGCAGGTGCTCTCCTGTCAGCTTCCAGTCTAGGACTGGGATAACCTGCTCAGGAACGGCAAGTTACCAGCATCTGTCATTATACCCAGTTTGTGCGCCAGCCTCTATTCATAGGATGGAAGCTCTGATGCAGGTATAGCAGGGCAAGAATACTGGGCCCTGGTCACCCTTGCCCAGTTTACTTGCCCCAGAGCACTGGGAGAGGCAAGCCAAGAAAACCAAAAGTGGTCGCCACAACCAGTGCCCTGTTCATGAAGCGCTATCAGTCCAGGGAAGGGGCTGCTGGCCCTGACAAAGATCCAGAAGAACAGCTTTGTCACTGTCCCTCAGAGGACTGACATATTTGAAACAGAACTTGGGGGAGTTCAGCATAAGGGTGTCGTGGAGTACAGTGTAGATATGGGTGGGAGTAGTAGAGGATGTTAGCTATATTTGTGCTGAACTGGGGCCCAGTTAGACGCTTAACTGGGCCATTGCTGAAAACAATGGGCTGTGGAATTAGTGGACTCCTGATGGTTGAGTAGGGGCAACTTTGAAGAGTGTGATGGTCTTAATGGGAGCAGAAGAGCCTTCTGCAGAGAAACAGTGGAAGAGGGAAAGGGCCACTGGTCTTGGTGTGGTAAGAGGAGGTCCACAGGCCGTGGGATCTTGGCAGTCCCTTACAGTGCCAGGAGTCTGAAATTCTAGCCAGTAAATTTCTTTCTTGCTTTCTTTTCCTTCCTATCTTTTAATACCTACCAAACTGTTGGATTAAGAACAGACATTAGTTTTGTTGTTTGAAAAGATAATATATGAACTTGTCTCCAAATACAAATTTAAATCATGGACCTAGTTGTCTTTTCTCCTCTTACCCACCCAGTGCTTCCCAGTGCAGATTGTATAGTTAATTGTGGCCTTTCAGAAGTCTTCTGTTCCCAAGTAAAAATGTTTGAGTATATCCTTTTTAAAAACAATCATACACAGATTGTGATAACATACTTTATGACTCTGTTCTGCATCTTTTACTTTGATCAAAATACACATGTACATATGGAATGCAAATGTTTAGAATTTTAGATGCATGGGATGCAACTGATAATGTAATGAATGTGTACCCACATTCGGCTTAGGATTTGCTAGTTCAGTGCCCTTCCTGAATAGCTTCTCTTCTCCTCTACCCAGAGATGACTACTATCCTGAATTTTATAGTTACCACTTGCATCATGGGTCACCCTTCCCCATACTGGGGGATAGAACCTAGAGCTTCACACTTGCAAGGCAAGTGCTCTAGCATTTGAGTCTCTTCATATGCAGACATAAATATATATTTATGGATCCCTCTGCGATACACATTGTTATTTTACTTGCTTTAAATATTTGTTTAAATTTTAAATTTACTTGTTTTAAAATTTTGTTATAAATATCCCTCTCTAGCCTAAAATTTGTTTTCTCTCACCATTGTGAGATCACCCATGTGAATGTGTATACCTATGACTCATTCACTTTCACTCCTTTATAGATTTCTATGGATGAATATTTACTCTTTTATCTCATTGTTGATTATAAAGTTTGTCCCCAGCTTCTTGCAATTATAGACAGTGCTGCTTTGGACACTTACGCACATGTGTGAGAGTTTCTCTGTAACATATACCTAGAAAAAAAAGTTAGTCTTCAACTTTATTTTGTTCTTTTAATTGGCTGTCTAAAATTCCCTTGTATTAGCATAATTTATTTAGCTAGTCTCCTAGTGATGAACACCTAGGTGTTTGCTCCAAAACATACACATACACGCACACAAACACACACACACACACATACACATACACACGCTTGCAAATATAGCCGTAGGATAATATTGCTGGGTGAAAGTGTTTTAATGAAGGTGATTATACTATTTGTTATTTATTTTTTCTAAAGAAATAAGCTCATCAGGTGGCAGTGTTAGATACTATATTAGTTACAGTGTTTCCAGTTTCACAGTATTTTTCAGTTCTCCATCCCCTCCATAATTTAGTATTCAGTAATACTTTTTTTTTTGTAGCATCTCTCATCTATGCTAGTCAGCACCTTGGATGGACACAAATTCGTGACATAAGTTTATAAATAATGTTTGAACAAAAACATTATTTTGGAAATTTACAGGTTCAGATTTACTATACAAATGAGTATAAGCCTTCTCTTCTGGGTTCTCAATGTGAACGCACCTTACTGTACTGTAGCCTGTGAAGTATGTTGTGATACTTGCTTGTAGACTGCACAAGGACAGAAAACCACAGGTCACAAGCCAGAGCTGGTCCACTGCCTGTTTTTGAATGGTCCATGAGCTAAGACTGTTTAAAATTTTCACTTTCATTTTTAAATGGCTAGCAAAAAATATATTGTAATGTAAAATTATATAATCATCACCTTTCAGTTTTTGATGCACAGCCATGCTCATTTGCTCATGTGTTGTGTGTGCGTTTTTATGCACCACCAGCAGGGCCATGTGAGCAGCTGAAGTAGGACTGTTTCCCATGGCTGCTCAGTGCACAAGTCACAACAATGTGTGTATAATTTGAGAGGTTGTAAGTGCTACACTTATCCCCATAATGTGACCTTATTTTTAAATTACCAGTCCTTACCCACTGTGTCAAAATGAGAAAAGTAAGCTTTCAGTGTTGAACTTTATAAATAACCTAAGGGGATTATTTTAGAAAATTGGGTGGCAAATCTTTGTGGTTTGTCTGTAGTTACACAATACTTGCACATGACCAGACTAAGTACTCACAATGCCCAGGAAAGCAGTGGTCAGGAAAAATTAGAAATTTTAAAACACAGTATCTCTTTACAGCTGAATTTCTTCACAAAAATAAAAAATGAAAGTGAAGCAATTACCAAAGTGAGTTTCCAGGTGGCTTCTTAACCAAGCAAGACAAACCATATCAATTATGAATTAATTAAATCATGCTTAACTGTAGCAGCCAAGAAATGTGTGCAAAAAGTAAACTCATTTGAGACAATGATGCAGCAACAATTGCTTGAAGAGTTGAAGACATTGGGAGCAACATCAGTAGTCAAATACCAAAGCAAATTATTTTGAGCAGTCACTGTGCTCTTGATGAGTTGACAGATCCCAGTGATACTGCTCAATAGTTGCTTAGGATCAGTGCCAAGGTTGAAGTGACTGAAGAGTTGTCTTCCATGAATAGTCTGTTTGGAACAACTATCAGCAAGAATATTTTCACAAAGATTAAGAAAACAAATTCAGTGCTACCTGAAGTGGAATCTGCTAAGATGCATTGCAATAAATGGTATGGAAAATGTATGGCAGAGAGGCAGCTTAGTTTGCATTAATTTATGAAGCTTGTGAAAATAATATGGTGTTTAAAGGTTATGGTTATTATTTTATTATTCATCAGCCAGGTACTTTACAGAAAATAGTTGAAGTGTCTGTCATAGGACCAATGGTTCAACAGTTTTATTTGCTCTCATGTACTTAGTCATTATTAGTTCTGTGAAGTTTTGTTAGATGTAGGAACTGAATATTCTGACTTGCCCTACTACACAGCAATTCACTGTTTTAACAGTGGTAAGGTTACTATAGTTTTTTGAGCTTAGGATCAAGACAAATTTTTCCAAATGAGAATGGCCCTCATCCATTATTATAATTTTGAAAATTAGTTTTGCTGCAGACTTGATGTTTCTTAGTAAAGTCAACCTAAAATTATAAAGCAATCCTTATATACAAAACTTATATTGCAGTCAAGTCACTTGATGACAATTAACATTGTTTGAACTATACTCCCCATGCTGTCAAAAATTAGAATAGAAAACATAAATTTAAAGATAAAATTCCCATGCCAAAAGTATAGTTCTAGCAGCAATATTGGACCTCAATGCAAATGAAAAAAAATTCTGTATTTTGAAATCCATTTAACTGTGCAAGTAAGCTTTCCCTTAACCTTCAGTTGTAAGTGATTAATCTATAATGTACTAATGTGCCAGAAGGTAGATGCCAAAGAGAGAAATTTAATAGAACTCCATAAATAACTTTCAAGTGATGAATATGCTCCATTAAGACCATGCATTTGTGGATGCATGGTTCTGGCAGAACCTAGACTGTGCTAAAGGAGATTTCGAAGAGAAAATATATAAAATGTCACTGTCGATCAGCAATAACAGATGAACATTTGCAATGAGTTTTGATGACACACTAACTTTGAACCTCATTTAACTGATATGTTATTTAAGAAAATGGAATTACATTTTTATCCTTTGTATACCTATATTTAAGAAAATTATACTTGTTACATATTGAATTATATCAATAATTTTTTTGTGGAAACTAATGTTTTCTCTTTCTATATGTAAGTACCTATCCAGTATCTTCAGTTTTCTTTTTGGCTTCCAGACTGTGCTTGATAGAAAAATGTGCCAACCCCTGGCTTCGTGGAAATTTCCCCAGAAGGAACCATTTTCTGGTCACTTTTCTGATGGCATTTTTTTGTTTTGTTTTAATAACAGTATTATTCCATAAAAATTAGGCACAGAGCATATTACCTTCTATAGAAGTTCTTGGTCCTTATTCCTATAGGAAAGCTTTTTTAGCTTCTCATGTTAGTGAAGTTATTTACATGAGACTTAATTCCTTCATGATGTGTCCTTGGGAAGAATACATGATGGTTGAGCCCCCTGATCAGGGCTAACTATAGAATGTATGCTGATGGAAACACTGAAGCTTGTTATTACAGACTTAACCTTTCAAGCAGGCAGACAGAATGTTACAAATTAGATTTTGATAAATTTTGGGTAAGTCACAATTTGCTAAAAATCTGTTAAGTTAAAAATTGTTGATGTTTTATAATTTACCCTGGGAAAAAATGTACTTACATAGATGGCTTCTAATTTTTTTTAAGTATACACTATTGCATGAAAAATTCAAAAGTTGAATAAAGGTAGGAAAAAAGGGGGAAACTCATGTCTAAAGAAGCCTACTAGAAATTTTTGGGCTGTTCCTTTCCTGCCTTTAGCCAGTGATACTTTGTGTGCTTGTCTTACATGATCCAACAAGTATTAATTTTTGTTTTGAAGGAAAATTTGAGAATGGTGTTGCAGAAGGAATGGTGGATCCTAGACTAAATCCTATTTCAGCCTTTCGACTTTCGGTTATTCAGAATTCTGCTGTGTGGGCCATTCTTAATGAGGTAAGAATGAATTAAATCAGTGAAAATCACTTAGATACTAGATGTTTTATTGCATTTTGAATGGAAGACCACCTTAGAATTGAGAATAAACTGCCTTATTATACTTTTCATCATTTTGTATTTCAGATTCATATTAAAAAAATCACCAATTGATCTTCTGAGAAACCAACACACTTTTTCCCTGTGAATCTGCCAATTAAAGCTAGTTAAATATGTTCCTTTTTTCTTTTTGAACTTGAACACTACCTCTTGTGAAATCTACTGTTGATAAGATGATTGTCATTTCCACTTGGAAAGTGAATCTCCCAAGGATAATTATATTCATTTGAAACTAAGCTGTCCTCCAGTTTTAACTTGACACAGACATTTTGCAGTTATGACAGCCTGTTAATATAACTTGTACTATTTTGGTATTATACTAATACATAAGAGTTGTACATATTGTTACATTCCTTAAATTTGAGAAAACTAATGTTAAATACATTTTATGAAGGGGGTACTTTTGAAGTTCATTTATTTTACTATTATAGACCCTCTTTTATAGATTATCAGGGATTATATATATAAATATATAAATATATAAATACACATAAAATGTTATGGAGTTAATTTATTAGAAACACTTAAGAAGTACATATTTTTGTGCAGTAAATTTTTGAATCAATACTTTTTTTGAAAACCAGTTACCTTGCTTTTTTAAGTTCTTTCTATACTTTTCTTTGGAAATGCAAACATTGCAGATCAATGCCATTTTTCAAATGCACTGCCATTTAAGATTGATTATAGACGGATTTCTTAACTTGAAGTACTTTTATAATCAGTGAATCTGAACAAAATATTTTCAAAGGCATTTATCATTCCTTAAAGCCAAGATTTTAAAGACCAATGTCCTTCTTGAGGGTTATTTTACTATACGTGTGTGGTGTATAGCCACAGACACCAGTCTGATAAATTTCAATGTTCATGTGTGACGTGCTCTGCCTGGATCACGACACAGCTCACTCATTACATTTCCTCTGGGGTGGAAGATGACAAGACTCTTCTTTCCTTTTTAATCTTTGTTCTTAGCCCATGAGTTTGTCTCTTCTTGTGAATCCTTTTATAGCTGCACTAATTTTCTGAGTTCTGACAATGTTTTCTAGGTAATGTTATTGTATGAGTTAATATTGTAATAATGATTTTTGGTGAAAGGTATTGTAGCAGTTGTATGTTTTGCCAGAATGGTATATTCTACTGTGTTATAAACTTGTAAATCCTGTGTCCAAAAAGAGTATTATTACTCTTAAACATTCAATTCCAAATACTACCACTGGTATCAGCAAAGAATGTTCTCAGCCTCAGCAATCAGTGCTTTTTCCTAAAGTACTTTACTTTTAAACAATTATGAATTATCAAATTAGCTCCCAGTCTGCTTTGACCTCCCTGTGGTTGCAGGTGTGCAAAGGTTGATCCCCTGAGCTTTTTAAGCTGCCCTGGCGATGGCCTGAGGCTGTGGGAGGTTCCAGTGGTGGCCTTTAGCCTAAAGGGACTTTACTGGGTACCCAGTGTGCAGAAGAAATAGTATCAAATAGCATCATTTTCTGTGCAGTGTTATGACAGGGAAAAGGTTGGGAAACACTGGTATAGTATGATTATTTCCTCACTCTATGTTGCAAATATTTTTAGTTAATTTTCTTGATTGAAAAGTCCATGATGCTGCCAGTAATGATTTTGATGTCAAAATCCAGCTGAAATTTTTATTGTGGTTTGTTAGATCTCATTTCCTTTATTTTCTGTTTTCTTCTCTGATTTCCTTAGCTCAGTGCCCACAAGCAACTTTCTTTGAAAACAGAAATACCCTTTTGTTATAAAATGTTGGCACCAGCTTAGCATACTAAATTACTGCTAAAGCAAATGAAGAACAGAAGGTAAAAGATCTGTGCAGATGGGTTCCACAGTAGTCAACTATGACTTTAGGAGAAAAGGCCATGCTCTGAAAATCTGGGGTGGGGTGTGGGGGGGGTGGTGAGGATGGGAGTATTGTAGCTCCTGATGAATTTGTTATGGCTTCTTGAACAAACCCAGACTGTCCAGCCCAGCTTTTTCCTGTCTTCATGCGCTGTCTCCCACCAGGCTCTGCTCAGCTCACTCTTTCTGGTGCTAGGAATCCATTCTGCCAAATCTTTTCCTTCATTCAAGGACTTGCTCCTTCATCCCCATGAATTTGTTCCCAGTGGCTAGAATGTGCCTGGCACTAGGCAGGCTCCATCAGTATCTGGATGAGCCAACTGGCTGTTCTCGCCACCCTCCTTTTTCTAATCTCTTAGATCCCTTTGCCCACCCTCTTTGCAACGCATATACACACGCACAAAAAAAAAAAATCAAAGGGGAGGGACAGCATAAGGAACCAAATATATGATTTGGCTAACTAGTGTTGATTATTCATGGGGGGTGTGTACAAACTTTAAGCTCCAAAGGCCAGCTCTACTTCTCTGTCCTCCATTGCAGCCAGGGTTCATCTGACCTCAATGTTAGTTCTTGCTCTTTGTACCCAGTCATCTCTAGACAAGCAGCCATGCTTTTTCCCCCAAGCAAAAAGTTGTAGTGGTAGCCTTGAAGGGTAGGTAGTGTGAGAGTAAAGGTTAGAGGTGAAGGAAGAGTGTCTGGGACTGGAAGAAGGTAAATATTTGATCTTGACAGGACACTGAATTACTCTTACCAAAACAGTGAATGGGAAAAGTGTCAAATGGTGTGACTAATTTATATATATATATATAAAATGTATACATAAAATATATACATACATATATAAAATAGGGCATGGCTTGGCATCTTGTGTGTGTTTCAGATAAACTACTTAGACTCTTGAGCAGTGCTGGAGTGTACAGTAGCGACAAGACACATGATTACTAAAATTAATAAAGTGAAAATTTCAGATCTGTAGTCACACTAGCTACATTTTAAGTGCTCAGTGGCCACCATATTGGACATCAGAGGTACAGAACATTTCCATCATTGCAGAAAGTTCTGTTGGCCAGTACTGTGTCTAGAGTGTAAATGTGAACATTTTAGAAACTAGAATTAATGCATTGTGACAATGAGGCCAAAAGCAGACATATAAATGCATCATGCAAATGGTGATGAATATTTTGGGTAAGAAGAAAGTTGCAGACTTGTTTTCTAGGCCTCTAAGAACCCAGGTTGCTTAGTTCTGTTAGTCTCATGTACTGTTATCATTGTGCCATGCTCTAGTCAAAAAAGAGTGAGTGAAAAGTTTCAGAAAGTTTATGTAAATGCATTATTTAATAGCTTATAGGCTAGAAAGTAGGTATATATGTAACCATTAGAGATACCTTTGAACAAAGGTACTGTCTATATTACTTTTCAAATCAATGGCTGAACCAGTAAAGGATAGATGTGGTTATTTTAAAAGCCATCAGCAAAACTGCAAAGGCTTCTTTTAAGTCTTTCACAATTATGAAAAACAAACATCTCCCAATAATGCTGTCCCTCAAAGAAAGGTTTGGTTATATGGAAACAGCATGTCCAGAGATTGTCCCATTGATAGTAGCGTATATTTGCGACGAGCAGAATTTTAAGAATGATCCCTCCTCATGACCTTGTTTAATAAATATCCTCTCCTCCAGCTTTGAGTGTAGAACTGTGGATCTGATCCACAATTATGTAATGTTACATAGCAAAAGGAAGATTATCTAGGGGGGAGGGGCACTTGCATGAGCTCTTTAAAAGGAGTTTTCTTAGGCTGGCAGCACAAGTTAGTCAAGAGGATTCCAGGCACCACTGCTGGCTCAAAGGGGAAGGGGCCACATGACAAGGAATTGCAGGTGGCCTTTCACAGCTAAGGCTTTGGCTGCCAGCCACGGATATGAGAACTGCCACCCACAAATACAGGAACTGAATTCCTCCCTCAAGCTCACTCACGGGCTTGGAAATGGACTCATCTCCAGAGAAGAGCCCAGCCTGGCCAGCACCTCGATTGCAGCTTTGTGGAGAGACCCTAAGCAGAGAACTCAGTTAAACCTGCCTGGACTTTGGACTTGCAGAATGGTGGGATAATGAGTAGGTGCTGTTTTAAGCTGCTAGATTTGTGGTGGTTTATTATGCAGCCATAGAAATGAATATACTTAAGAGGTGGAGTTCTGGGAAGTCCTTATATTCCATTCCCTGTATTGTTCCACACTCCCATATGGCTTTTGGAGATAGGCACTTCGTACTGCAGGCTGGCCTCAAACTCACAATCTTCCTTCCTCAGCCTCCCCAATGTTGTGGTTACAGGTACACGCCACCATGCCCGATTTGTTGGATATTGCGTGATGAACACATGAATAAAGTCTTTACTAGTAAGTCATATTCTTGGGCTTCAGCTAGGATATTCGTTTTTCAAATATCTCAAGAGTCTTCATTGGAAGTTCATAGGTAAAAAGTTGCAGCTAAATTTTAGTGTTCTGTAAAAGAACTGCTAGAATGAGAATGTAGGAATAGGAATATAAGGAATCTTTTTCCCTAGATGAATTATTTATACTGGTTTAGGTAAGACTTCTCTGGACCTGTCAGAGGTATACGGGAAAAAAAAAAAGAGTGGTATTTTAAATGAGACATTAAGAGAAAAATTAACATCCACCTTCATGTAGAAATTAATTTACTTTGTACAAGAGGCTTAATTTTTAAAAATCAAGTTTATTATCTAGCACAGATCAAACTGTTTATGTCAATCAAATTTTTGTACTTTGAGAATGTTTTCCAGAATACCTCTGTGCTTCCAAGCCATTGCTAATGAAGTTCAATTTTATTTTGGTTTATCATTTAATCTTTGTGCTTATTTTTTACTAGATTGCCATAGCCTTGATGTTAAGACAAATAGATAGAATTAACAGAAAGAAAACTAGAGACTAAAAACACTGTTGAAAGATCGCAAATTTGTGTAATATCTTTGTGTTGCAAGGGATCTTAGATTTCCAATCCAGCCCTTTATAGAAAATGACTTTCCAAGCTATGTAGCAATATTTATAGTGTGTATAATTTAAGCTTTGATAGTTGTGAAATTTTAAATTATTAATCCTAAAATCTATGCTATAACTAGTATGCTTACTTTCTTTAATGCATGTGAACACAGTGCTAAAAGACTACTCCGACAGTATTTGTTTTTTTAAAAAGGCAACCAAACCAAGGGTTTTGTTATACATACCCTATGCCATCACTAGCTGAGTGAACTCTTCTCTTAGCTGAAACACTCCCTAGATCACTGTCAAAAATAAACAGGAAAGCAGGCGCTGGCACTCCAGACTGTTTGAACTGAGATCAAGACATTGTTTGACAGTAATCTGAGTGAAGGGAAGCGTTTGTGAAAGCTTCATTCCTGCTGTCGGTAACACTGAAGTAAAGAATAGTGGTGCTAAAACTGTTCTAAAGTGAGGATTGGGTGTTGTTGGGGACTAGTTTAATACTTGTGGACACTAGGGAAGTTATTTCATGTATCACTTGCTCCTCGCTTTTTCATTGTATTAGTAATTAGCAAATTGTCCTGGAATCAAAGGTTCGGTACTTTAGTTTGATTAGCATTCCATTATTTATGTGAAATGCTCAGTGTTTGCTTAAGTTTGGTGAAAACACCTTTTGAAGACTAATCCCTGAGCCTTAAAAA